TATACTTGCAATGTGACTCTGGCTATTCATCCCTAAACACTCGTTTCATGCTGGCTATCTCCTGCCTATCCATAATGTTTCAAGTAAACAATCCAAAGAAATCAGGAAAATTGCCATCAAGTCTTTACTAACAGTTGGTAGAAAAACTGATCCAGTGGCCAGCCATTTTGGACAATAACAAGACAAGTGGTTTTTTTAACAGAACAAAGGGAAGAGCGTAAACGCCTTATGTAACTATAAAATTGATCCATTTACAGCATTTGCATGTATTGTTTTCATAATTTTTTCCAGCATATTAAGTTTTCTATAAACTGAACAAAAGTTTGAAGTTGGTACAAGTGGTTTCTATATTACTTGGCAGTTGAAAGTATTACTAACTATGACCAGAACGACAGGGATCAAGGCCCATGAAGGGTAGATTCAGAAAAAGATTGTCTAAGATGACCAGAACAATCAGGAGAGAGGCTCCTGCCTGGACTTCTCCCCTACATATCATACCATGCCGTTATTTCACCATGCCCTTAATATACATGGAAAAAAAACACTCTTCCATGAGAGAAAGAGACACTTTTCACTCCAAGAAGTAGCTTATCCAAATTTCCCATCCAGGAAAAGTAGAGAAATAGAAAAACAAAAATAAAAACTTTACCTCTTAGCAGACATATGTAAGCAAGACTTTCTCATCTCTAGATAGAGTCTCCTCACATATACAACCACCCATGACAATATGGTACTGATATACCCCTTCTTTCCTTTAACACCTTGTTTTAAATTTCTTCATTCATCCAGTATTTAGATTGTCCCTCTTACGTGCTCAACAACCATGCCAGGTAAAAAGTTAGGAAGTCTCTACTACCATGAAGTAGGTCATATGCTAGTTGGAAGATGGAGAAGTGATCAATTAAGGTACAGTGTAGTTTGTGACACATGGTAAGAGCTGTGATCTGGAGGGGCACAGATTCAGAGAAATCAGACTATAAGGGCTTCCTGTGAAGGGAAGACTTTTAAGTGAGTCACGAATGGCAAGAACACATATTAGGAAAAGAATACGTTTCAGGCCAAGGAAATAGAATGTGAGTTTGGGTTTCCTATGGCCCTAAATGTAAGTTCTATATGCAGTGCTATTAGGGGTCAGATGCTGAGAAAGCAGACTCTGAGACAAAAATGACCCCCCAGGAGTTTATCAGGGAGTATATGGGGTCAACACTCAAGGGGAGAGAAGCCAGGAGGATTAAGCACAGGTAAAGTTAAAGCTGCAGTGCAATCACAAAGAGGCCTTGGCCACAGTGGGGGGCTCTGAAGCTGGGATGACTCTTCAGAGGTGGAGGGAGCCTTTATACCTCTGTATCAACCAGTCACTGGACACAGGCAGAACTCTAGGAAAGGGGAGAAAACTTGGGCTAAACGTCAAAAGCAATTCGAGGAATGAACCCCACATCTATTTATTTACCAAACATCTCTACATCTCAATAGAGAATATTACTAGATCACTTGCCATCTTTCACCTGGGATGAATCCTCTATCTTACAGAAGTTTGGTTTTCTTAGTGCCCACAACATATTCTTTGTCTAATTAGTTACTGCTACAGTTGCAGTTCTGATTTCAGTCAACTACAGGCATGAGGATCAGAAACTCTTACAGAAAGAAACTCAGTTTGGACCATTTTCCTTTAAAAGCAGTTATTATCACGGGGTATTACTGTCTCTACATACAGCTTCTCAAAGAGGGAAAAAGACCATCTAATCTGCTGCTGTGAAAAGGTAGTGACAGAAAAAAAAAACAAACCCCAACTATCCTTAGCAACTACCTATCCATAGGACCATGGTATTTGTGGGAAAACATGAATCACTAAGCTCAAGACCATGCCTTCATCTGTTAAAAGACTAGCAAGGATATAAAAAACAGGGATGTGGTTCATAAAGTGTAGTCATGGGACCTGCAGCATCAGCATGATCTAGGAATTGTTAGAGATGCCAATACTCAGTCCCCACCACAGAATTACTGGATCAGAAACAGTAGGGGTGAAGCCATGTGATCTGTGTTTTAACAAGCCTTCCAAATGATTCTGATGTGCTAGAGGTGGGGCTTAACTTACTGCACATGATAAGCATCCTAAGCCAAATCTCTAGAAGGGGTCATATTTATCCTTTTTTTTTTACGTTTAAAAATAAAATAGCTATTTTATTTTTCCTGGTTCTAAAATGAACCCATATTCATAGAAATAATATTTAATCTGAAAAGTGTAAGAGAATGGATATTCTATCACTGATGTGAACATTTTAGTGCATATCTCTTCAGACATTTTTCATACATTTTATTTACAGAAAATACGGTACTGTACTTGCTATTTCATAACCTGTTTTTTTTTTTGTTTTAGTAATCTATTTAGCTTAGGACCTGTAGGTGTAACAATAACAATTCAGATGACTCAGCCTGTGAGTACAAATGAACTTACCCTTACCCTGAGCTCACTCAGGCATTACTAACAGGGCACCAAATCTTTCAAAGTATTTCTCTTCCTCAAAATCTCCAAGCTTAGAACTCTGGTTTTAAAGTTTTAAAAGGGCACATATATTTAAAAGCAATCCATTTTTAGTTTGTATTAGGCAGCTAAAGAAAGTTATACAAGCAGGATATCAACTTATAAAGCTAAATGTTTGGGGAAACATTAGCATGTAAAGTATTGGTTTTAGCTTCTAAATATTAGCGTTATCTGCTGTAAGTTTCCACTTGGCAGCTTCTCTATTCTGTGCTCCTTAGTTCTTAGGAAAGAAATATCCAGGAGGAGAAAATATCCTCTCTGTAATCCAAGACTGTGAGAGTATGCAAACTTGAATAAGAAAAGCCAGGAGAAAATTATCCTTAATGTCATCATTATATTTCCCAGTGACACTGCACAATGCCATTCAAGTTTGTAGTGTCTAGAACACAATGCAGGCTTTTGAGTCAGGCTGACCTAGGAGGGGATCTTAGCTCTGGCATTTGCTAGCTCTATGGCTTGCTATGTTATTTTGAGCAAGTTACATACTTCACTTTTAAAGTCTTGTTCTCCGCATCTGAGGAAAGAAGAGAATAACAGAAACTATCTTGCAAGATTAATTTGAGCATTGACTAACATGTTAACTGATGGATTTGGTTCTGAAAAGTTCCTGGTTGAAAGAAAACAAAAACTCTACAGACCATGAGACGTAAATGACCTGTAATCAAATTCAAGTTGAGTGCAGTAAATATTTCTCCTTTCTCCACTTCCCCACTTCTGCGTGAACTTGAAGGTCAGTAGGTCAACCCCTGGTCCGAAATGTGACGGCGACAAAGACTTCCTCCTGACTGCCCAGCCTCTGCTTCCTCACCCCCTTCCACTATTGCAGCCACCTGGCCTCAGTCTCAGGATCTTATCTGATTCCTTCTCCTCCCTTTCAAGCCAAATCCAGAAGCACTGGCTAACAGTTAATACACGTGGGCTAATTAAACTCAAATGGAATATGTTCTTTTTACATCCAGTGATAATTTTACCTAGAATTATACAAGGAATCTGAAGCAGAACACGACATAAAGTAGCAGAACGAGCACCAGATTGTGAGGCCATGGCTCTGCTTCTCACACTGGGCAAAAGTGCTGTGACTGTGGGAAAGTCACCAAGCCTCAGTAAATGAACTTCAGCTTCTCTGGCCTCACATTCATCCCATGACTATTTCAGGGAGCTCCTGGCTGGAAGAGCTGGAATCCCTTCATCACCAGCATCTCCCGGGAGCAGGAGCCCTCTCCTTTGGCCTGGGTGCTCTTCTGTCCAGCCATCCTCCTCCCCCATGCAGCCCTCCTCCTCTCAGCCACCCCAAGGGCAGCCTAGTTCAGTCCTGTTTCTTCTAACCTTCACCTAACTTCTTTTCACCAAAAAGACTCCTTCATGTAAATTTCTGATTTCTGTGACTTATTAGATACATTTTATTATTTTAATTTGTTATATTCACACGATTAAAAATTAAAACATAAAAATATGCTGTAAAGCTTCTACCATCCTGTCCTCCTCCCCTACTTTCTCCACCCCACCAAATACAGGCTATCACTGTAATTTATTTCTTATATATTCTTTATCCACATATAAGGTCAAATGTAAAATTTGTCTTACATTTTAATCTCAAATACAGCATTTTACATACACTGTTCTGCATCTTGCCTATTTTTTACTTTATTTTTTAGTACAGGAGGAGCATCCTCATTCTTACCTCCAGCTGAATAGTGTTCCTTTTTGTGAATATACCTTAACTGTCTCTAATTAGAAGATTTTGGGCGGTTTCCTATCTTTTGATATTATAAATAATACTGCAATGAATAACATTGTATGTCATTTCACATAGTTGCAATTGTTTTTACAGGGCACATTTTAGACCTATACTTGATGGATCAAAGAGTGTATGCGTCTATAATTTTAATAGATGTCACCAAATTGCATCCACAGTGATCACAGCAATTTCCAGGGCTCTGGCAAATGATAAGAGCATTCTTCCCCAACATCTCCATGAGTGTTTTTAAGATCAAACTTTAAGGTTTCACCTATCTGTTAGGTTATAAATGGCATGTTATTCACTTTTAGTTTATATTTTTCATAGTTATGAGTGAGGTTGAACCTCTTTTCATGCATTTATTTTTTTCCTCTGCAAACTGTATGTCCTTTGGTCTTACTTCTAGTGTGTCAACTGTAACAAATATTCAGTGTGTAATGATATTTTCAGATCCTGCAATACAGATTATTCCTAGTATTTCTCATTGTTTCTACCAATTTCTGGCAAATAAAGAAATCATTGGAATGAATATTTTATCATAAGGAAAGTATTATTACAGTGGAGACACATTCCATTATATTGCCAATTTTTATGAAAATGTAACCATTTGAAGCACTAATTATGAAATATAAATGAATCACTAACTCATAAAAATATAAGATGGATAGAAAATACAAAGTGACATCACAAAATAAAAACAATTGTAGTCAGTATGTATAATCTTAAAGCGCAAATCAATGTGTATATATACATATACATACACACACAAAACCAAAGCAATACTACCATTTTAAGACAAAAGAAAGAATAGCGTCTGGAGAAATCCTCCCACTCCTCCACCTACCCTATACTTTTAAAGCCTGCAGCTGGCTCTTGCTCCACAAGGTTCAAGGATCCATTCCTTGTTTGCTCAGCTTTCCTGTGAGTTGGATCACAAAGAACAGACACCGGTTGATTTCTATCTGAACAATGGTCCAGGCACAGCTGCTGTATTCCTGACTTTCCAGGTAATCATGGATCCTTTGGAAGTAACTTTTAACCTGTAACCTAAGGTGCTCACTACCCAAGGTGCCACTTCTCTGTTCAGCTTGCAGTTGTATGAGTGTTTCCAGGTATTCCAGCTGTTGATGAAGTTCAGAGAGGAACCTATCCATTTGGATTTCCTCCCAACCATGCAGAGAAATAACTGCCCTGAAGAGGTTGAAAATCTGCTGAAGCATCTCATGAAGAATGGCCAGTATGTGTCCTTTCTGATACTGGTGAGGATCCACAGACTTCTGGGGAAGCAAGAAGTTTTTCCTATGTGGTAGACACTGCTGAATTGATGAGGTTCGCAATTTATTCAAGAGTTTTAAACTCTCTCTGTTTACTCTTCTTTGTTGGAAAAGAACCGGTTTCAACTCTCGGGAGAAGACGGTGGAAGAAGCCAGCAGCACCAACACAATTTCAAAGAAAGGCTTGTTAATCATGTTGAAGGTAAACTATTCCACTTAGTCTCTTGGCAGACTTGATAAAGCTCCACTTCTAGAGAATATCTATCTTTTGCGCAACTCGGCTTACACTAGAAGGTGTTCTCTTTTGTAGGTTTGTTTTCTAATGCTGTCATTTCTCCAAGTTTACATGTTAGGCTTTCTGGTTCCCTTTTCATAGTGTTCATGCAACATTTCCTCCACTTTCCCCATTGTGTTGGCTGTTTGAGGAAGTAATCAAAAGAACTTGTTTTCTTTGTTTGTGTTCCTTGACAAACCAGTCATCCAAAAGTACCTTCTATTACTCTCATTATTTATTACATTCAAAGTTTCACTCAACACAATATGCTTTCTAAATATTTAGTCAAGCTTATTAAAGTTCTTTTATGGAGAGTTGTTCTTTTTTTTTTTTCAAAGGAGTAGTCTTTCATGGAATTATATTTATCAGAGGCTTAGCAGCGCCTATAAGGCACTCAGGGGCAAAAACTAAAGCCCATACAGGCTACCGTTAAGTAAGAAAAATTTGATTGAGTAAATTTAAAGGTCAAATTGGTTCCACCACACTGGAGAAAAAGAAAGGTTTTTAAAGGTATAAAAGGGGCAGAAAAAGAAAGTTATTAGCAAAGAATGTATTGTTACAGGCAAGTTGCCTTCCTAAGGGGAATGGAGGGGCCTATGGCAGATGACCTCATCTAGTGCTGACCAGGTAATTCCAGGTTGACTAAAGGTTACGTTGAAATTGCAGTTAGGTTAGGTATTAAGCCCTGGTTTGCTGACATGGTCTTTAGCACAAGTAACTCCATTTGGGACCTGTTGTCTCTTTTTTTAATACTACTAATTTAAAATCTCAAATAGAACTGTAAATTTGCACAAATGCTTGAGCAATTTAATCTTAAGGTATGTTTCAGTGAACTTAAATTATTTTGTTTCTTATCCAAGAAGTTTAATATCTAAGAGTCTACCCTATGGAAGTAATATGGAAGGGAAAAAATTAGCAACAGAAGTTTGTTGTAAAATTATAGCAACTGCAGAATACTGGCGACAGCATATAGGTCCAACAATAGCAGAATGGTTAAATAAATGTTGGTAATCCATATAATGAAATGCTATATAACCACTATAAATGATAAAACGATATGTGAGAAGAGTTTGGGGGCAGTTGGCTAGTCTATATTCCCTAGGGTACCAATAACTATGGTAAACCAATGTGATGGTTTTACATCAGTAACACTTACTAAATTACAAATTCTCAGTTTCATATTCTAAATGCTTCAGAATAACCCTTCAGTCTGCTTTTCCAATCTTATCTCTCACTGTTGCTCCGAATGCAGTGTGAGGGAACCTGAATTCCAGATAAAATTAATGACTCACTATTTCCTCAATACAACTAGCACTTGTGTGTGTGTTTGTGTTCATTAATGATGTTCTCTCTCTGAAACATCACCTGCTGCCTCCTTCACCCCCAGTACCTGTCTGTTCAAGGACTAAGGACTACTTCTCCTTTAGCGTCTAGATCTCCCCTCAAGGAGCTATAATCTCTCCTCTGGATCTTCACAGCATTTTGTACCTCTTAAGACACTTTTCTTGGTCTCTTATACACGGCTATTTATTCACTTGCCTTAAACCTTCTAACATTAAAAATCTTAAGTGTGTGGAATAAATACTCATCTTTTTTTTTACTGTCTATGCAAATATAGTAGGAACTTAATAAACCTGTGTTGACTTTGAGTGAATCAATGTGCTCTAGCACAAAGTCATACAAGATGTCACATCTTGTATTTGACCATTTCTCTGTAGGCAGATGGGTGAAATCCTGAGTGTTGAAAACAGACTGTAAACATATGTGGTCTCATTAACAACCAGCTCGGCTCTATATTAGTGTCACTTAAGTCAGTCTGGTATTAGTAAGTTGAAATAAACCGAGTCAGTGGGCTCCATGGAAGAGTCTTTTCCTGTACAAAAGTTCAACCACACTGATCAAAAGGTTTCTAACATTTAGGGTGCTGTGAAATTTGAACTTTCAGATCCATGAGAGTCAAATTACAGAAATCTCTTAACTGAGCTAATAAGCTAAACAGCCTTTAAGCTGATGCAAAGAAGTGGGCATTGGGAAGAAAAGAAAACTTCACACCAAATTGGACAGAGTAGTAGCTGTTCACAAGTAAGTTATGTCATATTAAACCTCAGGCTGATGAGTACAAACTTAACATCCAAGTTATGCATAGTTTGCACTGGATGTTGTCCTGTAAAGCATGTCCTCTCTGAAAAGTTTTTATACTTTTCACTTCATCAAAAATTACCCAGCAATTCTGTTAGAGTTAATGGTTATTTGACATCTGTACATGGTACTACTCTGCTTGGAGCCATGGTGTCCATCAGACTGACAAATGTCTGAAAACTTCATTCATGTTTTCACACCTCCTAGGGCAACCAGTAAATTCACAAAATGATTCAATGATCAAAGGGTTCTGTTCTTTCCCACTGGATGCTACAGAACCCAAATGCATGAGGAAGGATAGAGAAAAAGAAGGACATCTGTGGTATCTTATCATCTGAATTATGGAATTTAGGTTTTGAAGCCACAAAGTTCTGAAATGGAATATTCTCTCCACCACTGGCTGGTTGTGTGACTTTGTGCAAGTTATTTACTTAATCTCTTTCTTAGTTTTTTCATCTCTAATTTATAAAACATTTTTGAGGATCAGCAGATAAAAAGATTATAAATAAAAATCTAGTATGGTGCCTAAACTATGGTAAATAACTAATGTATATTAGCTTACTTCCACTTAACAAATAACTAAATCAACTACATTTTCCCTGGGGATTCATATAAGTTACAGTAAAATATTTTTACAGATAGAACAGAAGATACTAATTAAAACTTGGACATTTTTATCTTCTTGTGGCTCTTCTGAGGATAAGTTGAGTTGCTCTGGGCTTCTGGAATGGTTTGATCTCCCTACAATCTAAATAATTTTTATTGTGGCAGCAACTCCACTAATGTTTTTGAAATTTCTTCTTCTCCTCTTCTCTTTTGGACCCTGCTTTTAAACTTTGTTAAAATGGATGGAGCACAGACTTCATAGTTTAGGGCAGTGTCATCCCACTACTCAGGGACTATCCTTGTGAGGACTTTTCTCAGTGCTCCATGTATTAGGAAGTCTTTGCACTTTGGTTGGTGGAAAATGAAATATTCCTGGTCCCGTGTCAGCCCTGGGAATAGCTGGCCTGCTGTTTTCTGGGCATTTTACCCCAGGCGTGGGTGATTCACAGATCACAAATTAGTTAGACTCCAGCAGTCCCTTCTAAAGATCTCTGTATCTTTCTCTCTCAGTCTCTGTCTCTTCCCTCTCTAATATCAAGCTACCTTTCTGAATTCCAAACTGACTTATCAACTCAGTGAGACAACTGGTCTGTTTAGGTTTTCTCTTCCTTGTGCTGCAATCTAGAAACCTTCTCCACACAGAGAGAAGCAGTAACAGGGCTAAGTATACTTATTTCTCTTTTCTCAAGGGTCATTATCCTATGTTTCCTGTTACTCAGAGCTGTTATTTCATATATTTTGTTTTGTTTTTTGGTTGTTTAAAGTGAGTGGATGAATCTGGTCATCCATCATGTCTGGAAGTGCAAGTTCTCTTAACATTAATGAACTGAACTAGAAGTTGGCAAACTACACAGAGCCCATGGGGCAAATACAGTTCATTGCTTGTTTTCATAAATAAAGTTTTATTGGAACACAACTATGGCCATTTGTTTATGTATTACATATGACACTTTCATGCTATAATTGGAAAGTTGAATAGTTGTGCCTAAAATGGGCATTGTTGGTGACTTCTAAGTTTATTGCATAAATGTATATTTCTACTTATTCCCTTTTCCCACAAAATGATTTATTACCATTACTGTTAATCTAAAAAAAATTAATGCTGTATTTAAGGTCCTGATTACCTCTGCAAGTTAAAAATACGCCAAAATAGTGTTAGTAAGGAAAGCATTTTAAATTCAACCAAAGGATGGCAGCATAACATCAGTTACTTAGAGCCTGGTATCAACTCACACTGTTGGCAAGAGAAATCAAAAAGTTCATGGTATCTAATGGTCTAATAATGTGTGGTCAACAACACATTATTACTTTGACCAACTGAATTATTCCCATAATGCATAAGCTTACTGATCACCCTAACTCACACTGAGATACTTACTGGTTCGTGTTGTTAAATATTTCCCTTTCTTGCCTTGACTACTCTAATGGACATTTGCTGCTTTCTGGGGATCCACTGTCATCACCCCTCTCTTTTCTGAGGGCTATGGGTAAATATGTCCTGATTTCTCTGCCTATTCTTGGATCTTGTATTTCTGGCCAGACTCCTCACTGTGAGACATCTTGCCCCAGTCCAAACTACTCAGTGCTTCACTTTGCCCTGGCCTCAGTGACTATTTCAGACACAGTCATTTGGCCCAGTGATCTCAACAAACCTCTACTCCCATTTGCTAGCATGAACTTGCAAATTAAATTAACCAGATTAATTTACCTATCATAGAATGCTGGAGTTGCAAGTAATCTTAAATAGTATATAATCTCTACTTTGCTTTCCCTTCCTGAAAAATTCAGTTCTAAAGCCAACAGATAAGCAGAAAAAAGTAAGCACTGTGCTGGAAGGGGTAGGGACCCATGGAGGTCCAGGGATGCCAGAGTTTAAAGGGGATGGGGCAAGCATGCACATGGGGGAGATAACCTGGCATGAGATGCTGGAGCCTGAGAAGAGTAAGTAAAGCATCTGTGGTGGGTGGGGTGAGCAGCTGCCGTGAGGAGTCACAGCCCGAGTGGGGAAAGGAAAGCAAAGTTTTCTATGGACAAGGTGTCAAAGCACTAGACTGACTACAAAATACTCAAAAATCTTGTCATTTACTTATTTGTATAAGTTGTATATATTTAAGGTACACAATATGATGTTTTGATATGTATGTACATTGTGAAATGACTGCTACAATCAAGGTAATTAATATATCCATTTCCTCACATAATTACCTAAATGCTTATTTAGTTTTAAAGAGTGAAAGAGAAACTTCACAGTGGAAAAGCCAAGCAGCCACAGTCTCATTCAAGGGCTCAAAGTGAACCTCATCAATAATAGGACAAATTGAAATCATGGATGACCTGATAAGATGCGACTCAAAAAACACAACATCCCTTCTGTGCTATTCCTGCCAAGTGTAAACAACTTGAATCTAACCATGAAGTACCATTAGTTAAACTCAAATTGAGGAACATCCTACAAAACAATTGCCCTGTAATATTTCAGGGTTGTAAAAGGCAACGGAAGACCAAAGAACTATTTCAGGTTAGAAGAAACTATAGAGACTTCCAGTTTCCAGTTCTGTATGTAAGGAGAGTAGAAGTAGTCGCTCTGTCCTAACAAGTAAAAAGCTGAACATACTGAGAAATCAACAACTCTTTTTGGATCCACAGAAGAGGGGAAGACACAGGGCAAACTGCTGTCTCCCTCATTCTGGATGTTTCTGTGAGAGTGTTTTTGGATGAGATTTACATTTAAATCAGTGCACTCTGAGTAGAGCCTTTGGACTCAAACTGCATCATCAGCTTGTACCTGGGTCTCCAGCCTGCCAGCCCACCCTGCAGTCTTTGGATTAGCCAGCTTCCACGTGTGCATGTGTGTGTGTGTGTGTGTGTGTATACACACATCCTATGAGTTGACTAATACACATAGTTATGTAGGTAGATTGGTGACCCTAAGTTAATAACGGCATCAAGTCACCCTGCTTTGAGCAGAAGCAGAGAAGGTCCACAGTCCATTCAGTGTTGGGACTTTGCCTGGTGTCAACTGAATGACAATCAAACAAGAGATTCCAGGATATTACGAAGACAGTAGCAGAAGCACTGGAACTTAGAACTGATAACAGGTGGGTCTGGATTACACCTAAATAATCAAGTTCAGGAGCAGTGGAGTCCTCCTACACCTCTCTGACCATATTTCACAATTGAGTTCCTATTTTCTCTAGGTTTAATACTTGGTTAGATAACAATGTTACTTGTGGAATACATCCATTCACGTGGCAATATCCAAATAGTCAACACTTACTATTTGTGAAACACTTCTCAAAAAGCTTTATGTATTTGGTCTTTATCACCTTCTTTGCTTTCCCTCTCAACACTCAGCAGGATTCTTTGGTAAAATGTTATAAGGTGATAGAGGCTGTCGGCATTATAACATGTCAAAGTTACGAGAAGTGGTCCAGATAGCAAGAGGAAATTTTGTCCTGTATGTGCTCTATTCTGACAAATTAAAAGACCTAAGCTTCTCTAAGATGAACAGTAAAAGGTACACGAAAGCTCTTCAAAGATGAAAGCTTTAAAAAGGCAAGTATGGTCATCACGGTCTTGAGGACGTTTTATCATGTGGCCAGGAGTGAACTACGAGATAGGCAGGGTAGGGAAGAGAGATTTAGACAGAGGGAAAATGAAGGGGGACAATGAGAGAGATGGGATGCTGGAAAACCACTGAAGATGATTTCTATGAACTGAAAAAATGGGAAAAGTTAAGAAATGGTCTGTACACCTCTAGAAGCCAGGTGTGCTCACTTTTGATTAATGGTAAGATTATTTTCTTACTGGTAGTAGACATGATTGTCCAAAAGCATTTACATAACTCACATTTATACCTATTACTATGAGTGGGGCATTATTCTAGGCAAACTATAAATATGAATTCATTTAATCCACACAACTACTCTATGAAGTAAGAACCATTATTATCCCCGATGTACAAACAAGGAAGTTGAGACAGAGACATATTAAATAACAAATGTTGTACATTACTAAGACAATACATTAATATTATTTCTAATCTTTATAATACACTTGTGAGGTAGGTCTTATTATCTCTATTTTAAAAATGAAAAGAAAAAAATCTATGATTTAGAGAATTAAATAACATTTCCAACCACATGGGCTTATATTTCTGGTTATGAGGAAGTAGCAGGGTCAAGAATTATTCTCCCACTGTAAACAACTAGAAAACTAGACAAAACACAGGCAACAATAATTTTTTTTCACTGGATAATAGGCAGTAGAAAACTGATCCCTGAGAGATGGGAAACAAATGAGGCTTTCTGCATGGAGGAAATTTCTAGATTAGGCTGCAGAGAGGAGAAACCTCCTTGGACAGTATCTCTGGATTGAAGAAACAAAAATCAGAGTTTGGGGAGACCAATGCAGCTAGAATTTTCAGGGCAGAGTACCCAAGAAAAGGGAGTGATCCAGAGAAAGAACTCCAGAAATTTTCACAGGGTTCTTTGAGAGATACTAAATGTCCACATATCAGGTGAAACTGTATAAGGTCCAACAAGTACAAGTTCCAGAGGAAGAAAATAACTATCATGGAGTTTTAAGCCAAGGGGAATTCAAGTTTAGAAATCATTCAAGTTCCCACCATAGGAGAGACCTCATTGAATATACAGGGTGTTTAGTAAAGACCCCCAAAAGAGTCACTCTTAAATGTGTAACTAAATTACTCATTTAGAGCTTAAGAACAAGACTGGGAAAAAAATGAACTAATCCACAACCAATATGACTGTCTGCCAGAATGAAATCCAAAACTCTTTAAAGAAACACAACAAAACCCAGCATACTAAAACAGAAAATCTGGCATTCAACTAAAAATACTGCACATAGGAGGAAATAGGAGAACATGATTGACACTCAGGAGAATAATGAGTTAATGAAACAGATTGAGAAATAATGGCATTAGTGAAGATATTAAAAATATGCTCCATATGCTTAAGGACATGGAGGAAAACAAACATAAACAGGATGAGAAGGGAAATGGGAAACAAAACAAACGAACTGAAGGGAAAGTCAGGATTTAAAAAATACAGTATCTGAAAATGTCACTACATGGGATTAACAATCAAACAACAAAGACACAACAAAGACGGTCAGGTTACAAGTAGAATTAAAACAGTTACATGTGACTCTTAAGATATTATGATTTGCCCATGGTGCTTCTCATTTTATAGTGCCCTATAAAAAGCCACAGCTAACAATAGGGCAGAAATACCATCCAAGCAGAGGCACTGTGAGTAGAAGGACAAATGTAAACATGTCACAAGGAAGAGAACAATTTTAGAAACAAGACAGACACAGGCTCAAATTTAGCTCTGTTATTTACCTAGATGAACTTGCACAAATCTCTGAAAATCGAATTCACTGACTCATCTGTAAATTTGGGATAGAAAGACTTGATATTCAGCAACATACAGCAATAACTAAGTTAACATGAGAAGATATTTATCACTCTACATGACACGTAGGCACATAACTCTTTGTCAATAGCTGGCAGAGAAGAACCCTGAAATTCTTACCTGGACTCAAGAAACTAAATACATATCACTGATTAGGACGCCTGAATCAGGCTCAGGAAAAGCTATAGGGTGTGTGTGTGTGTGTAAGGGGAAAAGCTATAGGGTGTGTGTGTGTGTGTGTAAGGGGATGGTCCTGTGTGCAAAAGAAGGCTTTTGCACTAAGCTTCTAGCCACTTTGAAAGCCAATGGGCCAGATGATTATCAGTGAACATGTTTATCCCAGATTAGTATATAAAGCCTTAATGGATGTTACTCATTTGACGTAAAAAAGTTAATAGGAATTGTAGGTGGAAATCATCATAGAAAAGGATCTGTCAAAATATATATATTTAGGAA